TGGTTGCATGGGAACCTGTGGGACAAGCATGTCAAACTCGCGGCCGGCGGGCCGCATGCGTTTATTGGCGAGTCTGACATGCTTGCGAGAAATGGATGAACGAACGTGTTCATCTCACTTGTCTCCGCCTTCCTTTCTCCTCCTGGGTTGTCTGTCTGTCTTAGGATGACACGGGGAAGAGCAGAACTGTGTCCCAGTTAAATGAGTCACCCCATCCATCTGACGGGCTCACGGCGCCGGCCACGTGCGATAAGTGGACACTCTGCCTCGGTCGATGACTGTGCCCAGGAGGCCTGTCAGATCCGGGGCAAGTAGGACTCACATCTCTGGACCAAGTGAGGGCTGGGCTCAGGTGAGGTCTGAACAAATGTTTCGGGAACGACCAAGTAGTTGAGGAAATTATTGGGCAAACAAGAGCTCTCTCAACTCAGGGTCTGCACACAGGCGGGACCGTGGCCCCGGGCGGCAACTCCCTAGCACAGTGGTTCTCAACCTTCCTAATGCCGCGACCCTTTAATACAGTTCCTCATGTTGTGGTGACCCCCAACCATAAAATTCTTTTCGTTGCTACTTCATAACTATCATTTTGCTACTGTTGTGAATCGTCATGTAAATATCTGATATGCAGGATGTCTTTTCATTGTTACAAATTGAACATAATTAAAGCATAGCGATTAATCACAAAAACAATATGTAATTATATATTCAATATGTGTTTTCCGATGGTCTTAGGCGACCCCTGTGAAAGGGTCGTTCGACCGCCAAAGGGGTCGCGACCCACCGGTTGAGAACCGCTGCCCTAGCAGGCCACGCGGCTCACTCCTACTCATCCTCCAGCTTTCAGCTCAGGTGCCCTTTCCTCCAAGAAGGGGGAGGAAGGTAGCGGGGCCATGACCTCCAGGCTGGGCCACCACGTGCCTCCTTTGTGCTCCCACAGTCCTCGGGGGTCCCCCACTCCAGTCCTGCCTGCTGTGTCCTCACTGTCTGGAGACGGATCCGACTCCCGCACTGGAGTCTGAGTCCCTGGGGGCAGGGCCCGGGCTGTCTTGGTCATTGTGCATCCCCCGCAGCCAGCCCAGGACTCGGCCTGGGGAGGTGCCGAATGTTGATGATGAAGAGGGCGGAGACTTGGCAAATGGGGCAAGGGTGCAGCCTCTCTCTGGGAGAAGTGGCCCAGGCCCCGGAGCAGAAGGAATACAGCGGTTTTCACAGGGCACAGTGCGTGCTGTCAGCGTGTAACTGAGTCTGGGCTGCAGGTCTGTCTCTGCGGGAATGTCTGTGGTTTATGAGGCTCGTGTGTCTGTGTGTTTGTCTGACTTTTGCTTTTCTGTCGTGAGTCTGTAGTGGAGGGTCTTCCCTCTTGGGCCAGGTGTGCGTCTGTGAATTTGGGGGAGGAGCCTTGGTCTGTGTGTCTGGGATTGTCTGAGAAGATTTTCAATCTGGTCTGTTGCGTTTGAGTCTGTGAGTGAGGCCGGGCTGCGGGCCTGCATGTCTCTTGCCTGTGCTTTAAGAATTCTGGACCACGTGCTCCGCAGGCCACCCTTCCCACCCCTCGGTGTGGCCTCGAGCTGCTCTGTTCTCTCTCTGGGCCTCGGCCTTCTCCTCTGTCGTTTTCAGAGGCTCCTTTGCTGAACCAAACTTTGGAGCCAGGAAAATCCTTTGACTGGCAGGTGCCTCTGACTCCATCCCAGGAAGTGGGCGTAGGAGAGACCCCGGGGCACCTGGCCTGGGCAGAGGAGGCCAGCGGGGGAGACAGTGTGGAGACAGCTACAATAGGACTGAGGGTCGAGGGGGGGCTCAGCAGCTGTAGAGACAGAGGCTACAGTTGAGGGGAGCTGGTGTCCCCCCAGGGGCCTGGGGTCCCTGACTGTTGGTCTCTAGACCTTCAGCTCCTTCCCTGTGCATGTCGGCCCCATCCCTTGTCCCCATCTCAGGCTCTGTATCTTTCCACTCTTTCTGTAACTGGTGCCTCTGATGACATTTTGCTCTGGTTCTTTCTGGCCTGGTCTCTCGTCCATTGTAACTTCCTGCCTGATTCTCCCTTGCTTTTTCCCTTGGGGAGTCTTTCTTCCCACCCCACATCCCCCTTTCTGGGGGGGGCTTTGCCTCCCCCTCTTTTCTTTCACATCTCTCCCTACTTCCATCTCCCCCTTTGTCTCACTGATGCCATTTAAAGTGTTGTGAGGAGGGAGAGAGCAGAGTGGGGAAAGGCATCCGGGAGAATCAGTGCTGAGCTGGGACTTGAAGGACAGGCTGGGGTGGGGAGAGGGAGGGGAGGATGTGAAAACTCAGGGAGGGAGGAGGCCAGTGTCCGGGAGCCTGGATACCAGCTGCTGAACTGGGGTGTGGATGCTGCCCTGCTGACACATGGGCCATGAGTCCTGGCCGGGACCAGGCAGGGTTGCCGCAGGGACCACATCGGGGGGCGGGGGGCGGGGGGGTTCTGAGCTGGCCTCTCCCCTGTGCTTCCTGTCATCCCAGCAGTGCTGGCTGAGCTAATCACTCCCTCCCCACAGGCGGGTGGGCAAATAGATGGTTTGGAGAAGGGAGAAGGAATGATTGTTTCAGGAACAGAGTCCCCAGATGGAGGAGCGACAGGGCGGGGTGCTGAGCAGGGCCAGGCCCTCAGACACTGTGACTTTGTCCTGGGCACGATGGAGACCACGGACAGGTCTTGAAGAAATCTTGGTGTTAGAAAGACCTCTCTCTGGGTCCTTGATGGGGGACAGGGCCTGGTGTGACTGACCGCTGGCCCCAGGCGTAGCTGGGGGGTGGGGTCCCTGCCCCATGTGGGACCCCACCCCCTGACATCACTGTCACATTATTGCACACGGGCTGGTTGACCAATAAGCTGCTCCTTGCTATTGTGGGTCTTAGCAACGGGGGCTGACCTTGGGCTGACAGGGAGGAGACCCCACCAGTGGGGAGAGTGAGAGGGGAGGAGGAGAGCCTCAGGGCAGGTGAGCACCCCGGGGCAGTTCTCCCGCTGGGGCCTGTGGGTGCGGCTTCCCCTCCCAACTCCAACTCCCTGGGCCCCAGCGCCACCCCGGGGCCTTGGGTGCTGGCTGCCCCTGGCTGCTGGCTGTTCCAGACTCCACACCCTGAGATGGGGGAGGGGGCAGGGCGAGGGAGGAAGTGGACCTAGGGGTGCGGGGAATGGCCCGACCTGGGATGGGGGTCAGACCTGGAGGGAACAAAGCAGTAAGGACACGTTTCTGTGGGGTCGGGGGATGGAGGTGGGGACAGGGCAGCCAGGGGGACAAGGGGGAGGCAAAGACGGCTGCCGGAGGCAGAGCTGCTCTTCAGAGGGGCAAGGAGCAGGGACCTGGGGTGAGTCCTGGTGGTGGCTCTGAGCAGAGACATCGCTTGTCTGGCCCGAGCCTCAGTCCCCCTCCGTCTGATGGGGACAGTGACCCGGAATGTGGTTGTCTCTCCCAAGGTTCTCTGAAGAGTCTTAGTCAGTGAGGAAGTGTATCTTAGAGGCGATGGACCCGAAGACAGTGTGACTGGGAAGAGGGAGGGCCAGGGAAGCTCCCAGGTGAGGAGGACGGGATCTGAGAGGCCACGTGAGGGCTCCAGGGTGCGGGGGGACTTGGCCCGGCAAGGCCAGCCACACAGGGCTGGGTATCCAATGAGGAGGGTCCCGGCGTCTGGGCTTCTTCCAGCAGCTGAACCCAAGGCTGTCCTCACAGTTAGCCTAGAGCAGTGGTCGGCAAACTCATTAGTCAACAGAGCCAAATATCAACAGTGCAACGATTGAAATTTCTTTTGAGAGCCAAATTTTTTAAACTTAAACTATATAGGTAGGTACATTGTTATGAACTTAATTAGGGTACTCCGAAGGCTTAGGAAGAGCCACACTCAAGGGGCCAAAGAGCCGCATGTGGCTCGCGAGCCGCAGTTTGCCGACCACGGGCCTAGAGATGGACGCCTGGGGCTCAGGGGCCTCACAGCAGCCCCGCGAGGCAGGCAGGGTCCCTTCATTGGTGCAGATACAGCAGCTGAGGCTCAGAGCCACGCAGCTAGAAATATCAATAATGACGATAACAACGCTGCTGCCGCCGCTGCTGCTAACACAGACCACCTGCTCTGTGCCAGGCGCCACTTTAAGTGCTTTGTATGACTAACTGGTGGAATTCTCAACACCCCGAGGAGGTGGCGTCCTGCAGATGAGAAAAGTGAGGCGGAGAGTTAGGTAACTTGCCCCAAGTCACTCGGGAGTCCGATCCCGGGTGCGCGGGTGTTTCGCCCTCCCTCGGCGAGGAGGTGGCGTCCTGCAGATGAGAAAAGTGAGGCGGAAAAGTGAGGCCCCAAGTCACTCAGGAGTCGGCGGCAGAGCCAGGATCCGATCCCGGGTGCGCGGGTGTTTCGCCCTCACTCGGCACCGCTTGCAGGGACGGCGGAGCCACTGTCTCTGTTTGGCACAGGAGCCGGGCTTAAGCCCTCTCCTTGGCAGGCCTGGCTACATAACTTACAGACCCAGCACGAAAGAAAAATGCAGGGCTCCTAGTTCAAACAGTATTAAGACTTTCAATCAGCGCCAGCAGATCAGCATTCGGCCAAGAGCTGGGCCTCCTAAGTGCGGGGCCTTATGTGACCGCACAGGTCACAGCTGCCCACGAAGCTGCCCCCTTCCTGGGTTACCCCCAGGACCCCTCAGCGCCTCAGGGGGCAGGCCAGCCATTGTGCCTGGGACCCCAGAAGCCAACAGGGTCAGAGAGGTGCCTCATTTTGCCCCGGGGCGCACAGCAAGTTAGTGGCAGAGATGGGATGTGAACCTGGGCCTGCCGGACTCCACGGGCCCTGATTCCTTTCCAAAATGTGCCCCGGGGAGTTTGGGAAGGAAAGGGCCGTGGAGGGCCCCAGAGACGTCCTTCACATCCTCCGTCTCTCTCCCCCTGCCCCGCACAAGGCCCAGAAGGCAAAAGGCTCCCTTCTCCCCCAGACGCCAACGACCTCTGGTCTGTGCCTGTCTCATCCCTGCGCCCTCTGAACTGGTCACCATGGCTACTTCCAAGTGCCCCGGGGAGGAGGAGACCACCATCCTCATGGCCAAAGAAGAGCTGGAGGCCCTGCGCACCGCCTTCGAGTCCGGGGACATCCCCCAGGCCGCCTCCCGCCTCCGGGAGCTGCTGGCCTCCTCGGAGAGCACCCGCCTGGAGGTGGGGGTCACAGGCGAGTCGGGCGCTGGCAAGTCGTCCCTCATCAACGCCCTCCGTGGCCTGGGGGCCGAGGACCCCGGCGCAGCACTCACGGGCGTCGTGGAGACCACGATGCAACCCTCATCCTACCCGCACCCACAGTTTCCCGACGTGACCCTGTGGGACCTGCCCGGGGCCGGCTGTCCAGGCTGCCCCGCTGACAAGTACCTGAAGCAGGTGGACTTCGGCCGCTACGACTTCTTCCTGCTGGTCTCCCCCCGCCGCTGCGGGGCCGTGGAGGCCCGCCTGGCCTCCGAGATCCTGCGCCAGGGCAAGAAGTTCTACTTCGTGCGCACCAAGGTGGACGAGGACCTGGCGGCCACCCGCAGCCAGCGGCCCTCGGGCTTCAGCGAGTCCATGGTCCTCCAGGAGATCCGCGACCACTGCACCGAGCGGCTGCG